GCTGAGGAAGCAATGATAGACAGAAATAAGAAAAAAATATTGCAAGCCCAAGCCAAGAATTTTATTAAAATTGAGGTTTAAAAACAAGTCAATAAATATAAAAGAATAGTAAAATATTAATATAATAACAATTAAATAAAACCATGAACCAAAAAATAAAAGTAAACAATTTTTCGGAAGCGTTTGCCGAAATGCGAAAATTAAAAAACTCCGACAGAGAATGAAAGTTATTGGAAAATTATTCAGAACATACTCCTGGAAATGGGGTAATTGAGGATTCAGTAAGGGTTTTTTCCATCAGCAATGGAAAAAAGAAAGTAGAGATAACTTATAATGTTATATCCGACCCAGAACTAGAATTTGATGCTTTTGTAGACTCAAAAAGAGTAGAAAAATTATCAGAAATCTTTTCCAAAACCGAAACGCCTTTTTTTAATAATAAATGTCTAGTTGGAAAATCATATACTTTTAAAGAAATTGAAATAAATGGTAGGAAACGGAAAATATTTAAAAAACTTAATGCGTGAAGTCTTAATGATGTTAGAAAAATATTAGTGGATTATTACGTGGTTAATAAAGCGGAAATCGACCAGTTTAATGAAAATAATTATCCTCATGGAGTTGAAAAAGGTTTAGATTTTGGGGCTCAGTGATTAGAAGTCGGCGAGGACGACCAATTATTTTACATTTGAGTAGGAAAAAGAGACCCCGAAAAAGGTCATTATTTAGGTGGTGGTGAATGAGAAATATGTCTCAAAAAATCTGATTTAGTGGGAAAATATGATAGAGGTGGACATAAATTAATTGAGTGTGCCGGTTCCCAAGGAGTTCAGATATTAAGAGAATTTTTAAATGTTCATTGATTAGCTTTAACTTGTTCCGGCGGTGATAATCGTGGCAACGAATATACAATTGCCGCTTTTGAAAAGCATCCAGTTGGTTTTGACCCTGATTGCTACGGTCAAAACGGTAATCTGATATCTCCCATCAAGGGAAAATCAAGTGATAACCAAAAACCTGACCCAATTTCAGGTCAAAATTCGAACCCACCCCAATCTTCCGGTCTTTCTAAGTCAGTCAAAGAGCAGGTTGTCAATTATATGAAACAAAATGGTATCTTTCAGTTAACTTTGGATAATGGCAAAATAGTAGTTGAATACAATAATTCGTCAAAAAAGGAAGAGAAAGAAATTAATTCTCAACAATTGAAAACTATTCAGGATTATTTAAAAAGTCATAATAATTCGGTCAATTACGAGCAACTAAATTATGATGCTAATTCGCCTACCACTGACCTAGATAAAAAACCAGATTATATTTACTGAATTGTGGGTGGGATAGGTTTAGTTTTAGCGGCTGGAATGTTTATTTATTGAATTAGGAAAAGA